ACTCCCTTTGAAATAATGAATAAAAGTTCCAATAAATATATTTATCATGCTTTAGTCTGACCTATAAGAAGAATTTTAGAAAATCTATAATAAATATTAGCGAAAAAGCTATGTTTTTGCAGTTTCACGAGAGAAATGTATATGAAAATTGTTGTCAGATATTGATTTGCAGATATATTTTAGCATATATCTTTCACATAGTTTAGCAATGATAAATATTTGATAACGGCGATAAAACAGAAATTAGTCGATAAATCTTTAATTCGAATGTAGACAACATTTTCAAAATGTTTTACTAACAATATTAACTAACAAAACTATATTTTCATTATACATATATATATATATATATATACATTATGTTTACCATAATTCGGTTAAAAAATATGATAGTTTATATTTGTTATTAAATTAGAATATAAAATAATTTAATTTACGAAGTAATGATTATTGTCTTGTTTTCATTTTATTTTTGGTCTTCATTATTTTCAAACTCTTCAATCCACATGTTATTCATTTTCTTACAATTTTTTGGCTCTATATTGTTAATTAGCTAACTTGTTTATATATGTTAAAATTACAATTATAAACTGTTACAAATCATATTATATACATATAATTGCAAAATTTCGTTTCCGTCAATTGTGGTAATGTAAAGTTTTACTAACAATATTAACTAACAAAACTATATTTTCATTATACATATATATATATATATATATATATATATATATATATATATATATATATATATTTAATTAAGAAGAAACATTCCGTAATAGATAATTAATTTTTAATTGATTATCAGTTTTATTCTTGATAATATACAGAGTCTTTAGTGTATTATTGAAGTTATATTGAAAAAGAAGAAGATAATTCAATTATTAATAAAAATTTGTTGCTTGATAATAATGAAAGTTCTAATGACATAAATAATCAAAGCTTTACAAATAGATATTTCAAACTGCGATTCATTTGAAAATGTTGAAATTGCTCATTGAGGCGGAATTAAATTTACCTTTGATGTTTGAAATGTCTATAAAAAATTGAATCGAATAACTTCCTATTATTATATCGAATTGGCTTATTATATATTTCTTGAAAGAAAAAAAAAAAAAAATGTCAATTCTAACGAGACGATGCGAGGCTCGAGTGAACGATAAATTTGTCGCATGAAAAAGTTTATTAACCAAAAAAGTGGATTATCCTGTCGGTATTACAATATCGAATATGTATAGAATTTCGTTGGGATCGATTTAAGAATGTCACATTGGCAAATCTGTGCTTCTTATTTTTTACCTTCCTTCGCCACATATATTATCAACGAAATGTTTTGTAAAAGTCTTTGGTACATTCGAGTTGAGAGCGATGAGGATATTTGACTTTAAAGTACAAATCCCCGAATGGAGCATATAAATTATATTACCCACGAGGATTCACCAACTTATCCCAGCATTATAAATTTCTACCCTCTTATTGGGACGGGATTGAGTAGGAGAAGCGTAGGAGAAAAATAATAATATCGATCGGCCGATGGTAACGTAAGGGCGATGACGCGGATACCTAACGAGATAAACCATTTACATTTTAGATAAAGTGTGTACCGAGGTGCTTGGCCAATTCGAAATCAATCGATAAGTCGAGGAGAGAGGAGGGACAAATTAATAACTGACGATAATTAAATAAACATCTATCCCCGAGACCGTTGATGCTTGATTTTGACTGAGTCTCCGGCAAGATGCGTCAGCGCAGTTAGGCATGATGTAGCAAATTTTAACCAAACGAAATCTACTACAACTTTCTCTGAAAATTTACTTTCTACGAACGCAATGCATTTAGAAAATATAATAATATTAGAAACGACGAATTTTCTAATATAAAATAACTATTTTTACTCGATTCACTCCAAATAGTCCGATAAATTTGACGATATATCATTGTAAACTAAACAATTATTACAACAATTTCCATAAATTCTCTATGTATTTTATTTATGAAAATTTGTCATTATTCCAATAATGAATGTTGAATTGAAAAAAAATATCCAAGGCAGATTATAAATGTATTGTTCCAAATTCAATTCAAATTAAGACTTAAAATGGAATATCATTTCAAAAGGTAACATGGCTCGAGAATGTGAAAAATAAGTTAAATTTTCGAAATTCTGCATGGTAAAACAAAATAAGTTTTTTAAAATTTCAATTTTCTTATTGATTATTCACAAATATAATGTTTTTTTTTTAATGACAAATTTGATCAATGCTGACCGTTCTTTTGAAAAGTAAGCAAGGATCTTTGTATAATTTTAAACCTAAAATAGAGAGAAAAAAAACTTAAACTCTTAAAACCTGTGCGTTACTAGTTAAATGAAGGAAAGACACGTGAAAAGTTTTAAATTCTAATTTTAAAACTAAAGGGTAATGTTTGAAAGAAACATAAATTTTATTATAAAAGCGACGTAAGATTTTTTTTTTGTTTTTTTTTTTGTTTTTTGTTTTTATAATAATAGAAATGAGTCAAATAAAGTCTCTTTGGACGTCTTTTATTTTACAGCTAAAATAGCATGTAAATCAATGAAGATTGGATGAGCATTTTGTGCTTGGCCAATGTGAAAAAATCAATTTTAATTTTCAGGAAAATGTCCTCAAAGTTCCAAAAAGTCCTAGGGCACGTAGCCGTACACGCAGTAGTACTGAGCAATTCAAAGTATAAGATCAAAAGAATTTTCTTGTTTTATCGGATATTATACTACGTTTTACAGGAGCTTGGGTTCTTTATAAACTAAAAAGATTAAGTCGATTGTTTGTAAATTGTAAATTAATGTTACAATTTAATAATTCATTTTGACCTTATTCTTAATTTGAGCAGTATATAGTTAATTCAGTTGTAAATAGAGAATCTGAGTCAGTATGAAACGAAAAAAAAAAAAAAAATTATTTCTCGAGAAACTTTGTTTGACTTTCATGACTTTTCATGCTGGTTACTGTAGTTAAAAATAAAAAAAAAAAAACTCATTAGATAACTCTTTGGAATTCGAAATATTTTACTGTTGAATTATTTCCGTTGAGACCTACTTTTTCTGAGATAATTAATTACCTATTAGCAAACTTATGAGATTTATATGTCAAAAAATAGATTTCGACATTTACGTGCCTTTTTTTTTTATATTGTTTTAATTTTGGAGCGATATTTTTCATAATATTTTTCATCGATAATTCAATTGAGATAATAATGTTTAATATAATTAATTTTAATAATTTATAATTATGTAGAATTTTAGGAATAATTGCTATAAATTATAATTTCTGTTTTTAACGAAGACTTAAAATTATTACCACCGCTGTTTCTATCCACTGATATAGGAAAAGAATTTCCATTTTTTTTTAATCATTCAAGATTTTGTAGTTTTTAAAATAGGATTAAAATATCGATCATTTAAAATTGATAATTATATGCTTGAGGTTAAATCTTGCAGTATGTTAATCAAATTAATTTCACGTTCAAAAATTTTTATTTATATAAATGAAATACTGTAATAAAATTTAGTATTTTAATGAAATAATCGAAATGATAAATTTCTCTGATATCATTACAGACTTATTATTATGAGATTTGAATGAATTTATTCAGATAATTTTCTAGATAAAACCAAATTAGAATTTTCATGTAAAATAGCGTATAAATCTATGATACGTGTGAAACTATTTTCATTATTAAAATTTATTCATTCGCAATGTGTTTAATGATTAGTCAGATCGTTCTGAGTCATTTCTCTAATAGGGAGAGAAAGATTCGAGAAATTAGGAAAAAAGGAAAAAAATATCCTAAGTCGGTGATCGCATTATCTTTAGAATTTATTGCCGAGATTAATGTAAAGAAAGGAGTCGAGTGATCGGCCTACATTCTAAGATTAGTGTGTCACAGATTCGTGAATCTTAAATTTTTTTACTTGAACGCTACTCTAATACTTAACATATAATGTATTCATTTTATGCATTATATTGTAAAATAAAACATTTTTCTAAAACTGAAATATACCCGCGTGCATTTACAATATCATGTTATTGTACGTTGATATCCATAAGAATATAAATATTTTAAAATGTTACGCTCCAATAATTCCAGTCACTTTCGCATGTCCGTAAAAATTTAATATAATCATAAAAATGAAATTCAATACTCTATTTTATTACGTTAAAGGTTTGATAAATTTGCAAAATATTATCTAATATTTCAGAATAACGATAATGTATCTTACTTAATTCTGAAATTGTCAACTAAATGGTAGAATGTCTTTAAATCGTCGATTAAAACAAAAGATTTATTATTAAAATTTATAATAAAAATAACGAGGCACCTTCTTGTTAAAAAAAATGAAAAATTTTTTTTAACGCTATTAACAATTTTAAATGAAAAATATTATCGTATTGTTGTGTAGCATAAATTTAATAACAAATTTGTAGACAACTACAATTTAATATATGTATATACCTCTGGTATTTGGTTTTTAATATTTTATTCTTTACTTGACGATTCGTCTTTGGAACCGAATAAATAATTGATTTAACGTCAAAAATAAAATAAAAATTTTTTCTCTAAGATTAATTAAGACTGTATGTTAGTTTTGAAAAATTTCCCAAATACTGTCAACTTATTGCAAGATTTACATGCACGGATATATATGATTTAATTTGCACATCAACTATCACTTCACAGATCTATATTTATGAAAAATTGTTTTTGTCTACTAGTGTCGATTTTACAAAATTTATGAAAAATCTCATGAAAATATGTAAAAAATACGATATATACAGCTTTAAAAGTAAAAATACAAAGGATAATATTTTTACAAGAACTATTTTTCATTTGACCTATTTTACTCTGATTTGTAGCCATTTAAACTATACGAAAAAGTAATATTATCTATTATTTTTAAGTTCTTTAAAATAATAGACAATTAATTATTTAACCAATTGTACACATACACACATACACTCACATCTACATTCAATTCTATTAACTATCTCAATTCTATGTTAATCGATCAGTATTCTTAAATCAATAATATTATCTTTGATGAAATTTTAATTTAATTTAATATTGTCGCTTAAAAAGAAAAAGAGAATAATGTATTTAGGGTTCGATAATATTTATCCAGTCTTTGCAAATGATAAATAATTACAATATGAAACTAAACATTAATTTTCATGATTAAAATCAATCGGAATCAATGAGACTCAATGAGAATTTATAAGGTTTTGCTGTAAAGTTTATCATTACTATACTCCAAGTATTTAATACGACATTTTTACTAATATAATTAATTTCAATTTCATGCACTTTGTGATAACATTATCTAAACAATCATATTATAAACACAAGCATATAAACACAAGCATAAATATAACAGAAAACATAAAATACAAATATAAAATACAATTAGAAATTATATTAACTAATAACATTTTATTAATCAGTCATATTTTTTTATATTTAAATACGTATATATATATATATATATATATATATATATATATTTATACACATATTTTTTTCTTTGAATTTTCAAAGAAGAGTATAATAACAGTATAATAAGAGTAAAACACTCGATCTAATAAATTATTGTAATTGGAAAGATAATTTATAATGACTATCGGATAAGTTGGTGTCTTTATTTTAGAATATTTCAACATTGTTATGATTAATATGCATCAAGAATTTTTTTTTTTTTTTAATTGACATAGTTGTCGATTATACGCCATAAGATTGAAAAATCAATGTCATTAATTTCCAATAGATTGCAGTCGTTAAAATTTTATAAATGCTTTCTGTGTACTTAAGAATTAATTTCTCGACTACTTTTTGATTTCTAACCTAATGTCAACAATTTGTAATTTCTGTTTCTCTTTTCTTTCTTTTTTTACTGGAAAACATCTGTTTAAGTATTTTTTTTTTCATTTTTTTCAAACATTATACAGACACGTTTTTGTGTAGTTGTTTTTTTTTTTAATTGAAACGAGCGCGCGTAGTTTCTAACTTGTAAGCAACTGCTTTGCGTAAATACTTAAACAAACAAGCTTGAAAAGCGGTGGAATATTTGCTTGAAAATTTATGTACTTATTATTCGAATATAATACGTAAATTATCTGTATAAGAAAAGAGATTTTTATAAACATTACATTAACTGTCAAAGATACTTTACAGAGATTTGCTATTGATAAATACTCAGTGACTTGAAAATTTCTGTTTAAAGTTTCTAACAATACATATTATTCGTTATTTTTGGAGTCTTTTATATATTATATATTGTTTAAAAAAAAAAAAAAAAAAATATACGCATATATGCTATTTCCTGAATGTAGGTTGCATCGGTATCTACATCGTATTCATCTTGGTCGTCATCTTGATGCAACACATCGAGAACAATCAAGATTTTACCGAGAGCAAGTATTAAAATATCTATTACGACGTTTTGATTATTTATTTTCATGTTTATGAGCTTATTATCCTGCGTATCCTTGAAATATACCTTGAATATCCTGAAATGTAATCAACGTTAAGAGATAATTTGAGACATATAGCGAACTCCATCTTTTAATCGCGCGTTTAATAATAATCTTTTAAATTGAAATGATAACGAGCGTGTAACGTTCGTAATGGAAATCCTTTCTTTCATCCTAATATTCGAGGCATTGAAATGCAGTTGCCATAACTATAATCTCGTTATAATAAGCGTGGAATTTACATTGAACGAATGTGAATATTTGCGTTCTTATCTACTATTTACGAAGCGACAGTCTGTCTTATCAATATACGTAAAAGGATACACAGGCCTTAATAAGGACTGCAACACGAGTTGCAACGTAGATACTAGTTAAGCGTAATGTACACAGTTGTGTTTGAGTACGTACGTAAAGGCACAGAATCCTTAAGGTAAAATGTAAGGCTAAAACAATGAAAGTCTCGTGGAAATTTTCAACAGAACGGATTCCGGCACTTCGGGACTCCGAGGCACAGAGTGTCTTCGAGCAGGATCGCCAGGAGGAGCCGACCGCGCAGATGCCTAGGCGAAGCCGAGCCTACGGCCTCCATGCAAAACTCGGTGAGTCTGATCGAGACGCCCCATTCGTTTCCGACTCCAAGCGACCTATCGTGGATAGCTTTCTTATCGCGTTAAGTTATTCTCGAGACCCCTAACGCGATTAGCACTTGCAGTACTCAGCCTTTCGGGCGTATGATAATGGCGGTTGGAAATCGAGACGCCAGCCGCGTCTACGTACTCGTTATTGCGTCACATTAGCTGGGTTTCGACGGGCAATCGCGCATTTAAGTCAGTGCGCTTCAAGGTTGTTTGTTGCGGAAGTGTTTGAGGAAGGTATCTGGTGCCGGAGCCGGAAATACCATAGCCCGGAATGTTCGATGGATATCGGGAACGAGAACTTTATTGTCCTGAGAATATCTTACGATCTTATAGCGAATGATTGATTATGTTGTCATTTATGTGGGATCGATTAGTAATAATGTCTTATTCAATTTACTGTCAATCGCGTAACAATGGCATTAGAATAATTTTGAAGATTTTTTGTCTACGGTATAAAACATTTGCGCGTGAATATCGTTCAAAGAGTGAACGAAATGTTGATACATTTCTTCAACAAATTTCCTCGACGCCTGGTATCAAGGCGAATGAGATTTTTCTCTTCAAAGACAAATGTTATTTATAATTTCAAAGAGGACACGAAGTTTCATGAATTTCATAAAGTGATTTAATATTCGGTCAATGTTTTCGAAATAACACGATTGACCTAACTACACGCTCGATATATAACGAAATAATTCCTACATTTATACAAAGCTTAAATATTATATTCAAATTTATATGCGTTTAATAACATGCTCATGGAATACCATATTTGATACGAATTTAATATTTATTTTTGTGCAAAAACTTTCCATTTCCAACTAATATTAGCGAATATGAATTATTATGACGACGGTCGTTATTGTTATCCGTATCGTTGTAATTGCTGCTGTTGTTATTATTATAAAAAATTATTTTTACGTGGCTGTATAAAAACAAACAGCAGCATATAATATTAGCGCTTCTACAATCATGTATCTAGGCCCACTACACCGTTTAAAAAAAAAAAAAAAAAAAAAAAAAAAAAAAAAAAAAAAACGCAAAGAGAAAAAAAAAGAAAGAATAACGTAACGCTTAATTAATTATTACACTTATAATGTGTAATTCCACGTTAATTTCGAGAACGTATAGTACTGAGTACATGCAATTTTTAAAAATATTTGTCTCGTTTTGCTCAAAGTTAGTCAAAGCTCAAAAGCACACTGATTTTTGTCCAGTGTTACAATAATCTGCGGGAGAATTTTAATGCGACGTTATTCTCACTATTTTTGAAAACAAGCATCCCGAACCCATACTCAGCACACTAGACCTTAAGGATCTAAGAGGACAAAAAATTCGCCACAATCTCCATTGCCGTAGACGTAGCAATCGAGCGCGAGCAGGCGCTCAACGGTGAGGTCCCGAGTCAGGCACTGAAGCGGTCCCTGTCGATAAGGCCGGAGGGTCTCATTCGCGAGTTCCTCTACGACACGAGTCCCGTGAACGGACAGGAGTGGAGAAGCGCGTCCACTCTGGCGAGGATCCTTCTACTGTTGCGCGGACCCCACATGTTCCTGCTCCAGCTGTTCGTACCCGTAGTCAACGAGACGTCGCAGAAGCGCGGATGGTCCAAGATGCTCAACTGCATCCAGATCGCCGTCACCCCGATCGCCGTCCTCTGGATCTTCAAACGTTAGTGGTCATTAGAGATGACGCGTGCATGTGTGGATCGAAATTGAGAAAGAGGAGGATAGCGGGAGGCCGTTTCCCATCGATCTTTTCTCATTCTGATATTCAGCCGTGACTTCGGTTTTATTCCGTTACTAATGGGACTGCGATCGACAAATGTTCCACGATTTGATATTTCGATGCCTTTTTCTTTTTTTTTTTTATAAATGCTATTCTGCCTTGTTTGTGATTCACTATTGCATTGGCTTTCTGCGGCGACTTTGTGTTTGCGATTTTCTTTGTTCATCGTGTTTCTCCTTGTGAAAATGGACGGTCGTTCAAGTTTTCAAGGCAAATTATTTGTTTTTTCTTGCAAGTTTCAAGTATATTATTATTGCTTATTAAGCGCGATGTAGCAATTAAAGTAAGGAACTAAGTACGATGTGTTTAACGATATTTACAATTTCTACTTACACGTTACGTCAACAAGACGACGGGGAAAGTTCCGTAACGTGAGTTATATTTGTATTTTCTAAAGCAACTCGTGATATCTGCTCCACGGCTTAAATACTTTTATTAAAAAAAGAAAAGTTGATTATTAGTTGATTTGAAACATTAAGAAATCGATCAAATAATTCACTCAGGTTAGTCCTTTAGTCAACTCATTTCAACTTTTGTTCGTTAGATTGGCATAAGCATTTATTATCGATCTTGTATTTCATTTTACCTATAATATTCCTTGTACGGAATATTTTGTCCCTTTCTTTTTTCTTTTTTTCAATTTTCAAGAACACGTCATGATTTAACTTTCTTTAAAGTAAAACCATTCCTCTTGAGGGAGAAGAGATTGGTTTCTTTGTAAAATTATCATTTTGCGTCATAAAATTCATTTAACATTAATACTTATAAATTAATAATTCTAAATTTATTTTAATTTGATAAAATGAAGAAAATTCTACTTTATATATTCCTCTTTTATAAAACTGACATTCGTATTGAGTTTCTTATGCTCTATATACGAATCGGTTTGCTATCTTGATTAAATATTCTATCAACTCAACAACTTTCTCACTACAAACTGAGTAGATACGAATCAACAAGATATACCTCCATTGCGTTTAACTATTAATTTATGTTCTAACGGTATTTGTCATAAGTTCTGTTAAAATTATTTGAGTCCCATGACTGGGCCAAAGATAGAAGTTTTAATGAAAGTTGATAGTTTCGATTGAAATCAGAAATTTCGACAAAACTCGATTATTCCAACTGAAGTCGAGAATTTTGTAGATAGTGATTAATTTTGAAATCTTGAAATAATCTTTAGATATCTTGAGTTTTAAGGAACCTAAAAGCAATTTGAAAGATATATAATTTTTAAAAATATTATTATGCTACATTCCTGTTTTCAATCGATAATAAGAATAAAAGTTATATTTATTATAAAATGAGCTAGAAACATCTAGAAACAAAACGGTGATTCCTCAAATATATAAGTACATATTTAAAATATAATAGATATAAATTAATGAAGTATTAATTGATTGGAAATTGAGATAGATAAATAGAGAGAGAGAGAGAGAGAGAGAGAGAGAGAGACTGAGAGTGATGGTAAGAGGCAATTACGTTACAACCTGATTTTATTAATATTTTTCATTAAAAATTAGGACCCATATCTTATTTATTTAGAATATTCTAATCGCAGTACTATTAATTATATACTGAAATTTAAGAAAATATTATAATTATTTTATTGTCCTACACAGCTTTCTAATTATTTTACTACAATAATTTTTTAAATCTAATTATTTGGTAAATAAAAGTTTTTATTTCTATTGATTAAAATTGTTGGTACTCTTAAGATTATTTACTTAAATTACGTAAAATACTTAACATTATTCTATAACACTTAATGCATAGTTTTAGGATATTTTAGAAAGGGGATTTACAAAAAATTTTAATTAAATTAAACTGTTAATTAATGACAACGTATTTTGTAATTAAGAATATTAAGGCAGAATTAAAGATTTTCTTAGATAATACTAGGAATTTTAAAATAAAAATCCTCAAAATGATAACTCCAAATGGTATATATTTAATTTTTATCCAGGTATTTTCCGTTCTGTTGCGAGATATTCGTTAATCCAAATAATACACTACTTTAATTTTATTTATCTTCATAGCTTGAAATATTAATCGCATACGTATAATTAATTAGGATATTTTATATTTATTTGAAATATCAAGATCATTGCATGTACATTCGTGTTAATAGTAATACGCGTGATATTTGAAAATTTTAATGCAATTTTCATTATTTCCATAAGATATCATTTATGAATATGTATATAGGGAATTGTGAATGCATGTGTGAAATTTAATTTAAATATATAATTATTGATAATATATTAGCACACAGTGGAAGGTTTTAAATTATTGAGAAATATTAAAGGCTTTTAGGCAAACCGTCAAATATTCTATTAAATTTTAGAAACTTCTTATCATAATTTTTTAGTGTGAAGGTATCAGATTTTTTTACTTGTTATCCGAGGCAATATTAGCTAGTTTTGTCAATAGCTTGTTGATATAAAATTTTTGTACGGAATATTCGTGAAAAACTTAGATAACATGCTTTTATCGGTGCTTCCATTTCCTCTACTTGCATCCCATCTCTTTTTATATTTATCATTGTCTAATAATGCATTTTCAATGATTATTTATCCGAATAATTTCTAATTTTTCTGATTTTTTTTTTGTTTTTTTGTTTTTTTGTTTTAAAGGTAATTATTAATATCCTTATTCTCTACAAAATACACTGTTGTATAAAGATATAAATCGAATATTCAATTCGAATTAATAAATATTTGTGAAGTTTGTTATATTGTAGAAATACTTATACCGTTCATTTATAAGAATATATCATAAACTTTCTTTTCATTGAATATAAAAGAAGTATTAAAATTTGAAAATTTATGTTGAATTTAACTTGGAATCTTCTGTTAAAAGTTTATTCGCCCGCAAGGATTAGCTAAAAAGATATGGCGGTGCGACAGTTATTTTAATGATTTATGAGTTTGAATGGGATAAACTACTGCAATCTTATTTTGACATTGTAAGTAAAATTAATTAGCCTTTGTTTAAAATATTTTCTCCCATTGCGATTTAATTTTGTCTATACATTTAGCATGTAAATAAATTTGAATCAATTGATGCGCAGCTAACAAAATTCATTGAAATTCATAATAGAATAATAATAAATTCTATCGCCGTACGTTAACATTATTCACCTCCTTTGGAAAATTTTATGCCCATAATTTATAATCTTCATGCAATAAAATTCGATATGAATTTACTTTATTTTATATAATTTAGTTTAATCGTTAAGTGAAATTAATTATATCACATGTAAATTTTATAATAATTTAACAAGCCTTTATTAATATGTAATAGGAGAAAAAAAAAATACATTTCATAGTCTAATTGATAATCTGTTTTGTATTCAATGAATAACGTAATAATGTATTACATCGTTAAATACAAAATACGCCTATGTACTTATATATATACGACGTAAATACAAAATGGAGCGAATTAAAAAGAAAATATCTTTTTGTCATTTCAATCACTCGAATAGCACAAAAGTGATTCAACGGCTTTATTAATATTTACATTTTTTTCCTTTACAGTGAACAACATCAAATTTGGAAACATTTCCTTATTGACCATTTGCTTTGCTTGCACTTGTACGATAGCTGTCATAATGTTCGCACTCACCTCTGTTGATAGAATTCCCAGACTGCACAACGTAAGCTTGAACTATTGTTTTTAGTGCGCATTCTTACATCTGCCCTTCGATTGTCTTATACGAATAATAAACTTTTATGAAAAACTTCTTTTAATGTAGGTGTAGCTCGATGAAAATCCTTAATCTTGGAATCGTTTTGTCAACAAAAAAATTATCACATTTATTCAACTTGGGTTTGTAAATTGCTACGTGGCACAACATTTTATAAAGAGACATTATGACAATTAATTATTCTAAATGACCGCACACATAAAATAAAAAATTATCCATACCGCGTACGATTAATAGCCATTACTTTTATCGTCATTACAGTTTTTCTTATACGACTGCACCTTTTAAGTCTATAAATCTAGCTTGCACGGATTAATGATCATATTTAATGTAAATGAAAATTAAGTTTAATGATAGAGTATAACATTATGATATTATAATCGATGATATATTAGAACATACATAAAAGAAATTTTAGTCAAGTGCATTCAATTCGAGGTACAAAGCTCGTTGTTTGCCTCCCCCCCCCAACCCCAAGCCCCCCAAATGTTGTGAATAATGCTCAAATTTTTTTAATTAATAATATTACGACATCTTTTGCTTACAAATGTCCTTCTGCTAATAAGATATCAAGTAATGTTAATAATTTTTACTTCTTATCTCAAAGCAAATGCACTTGGGGAATCACTTGTTTTATTGAAATATAATTTTTGCATGACTATGCTCTGCCCGCCCTCCACACAGTCTCACTCAAATACATCTAACGAAGAAGGCCGAGGGTCGCGAATTAAATTGTAATGTGAACAAATTGTAATGTAAAGAACATCCCGATCCCCCCGTGGCCATTTTCCACTGTGGAAAACCGATCGCGGAGCCAAAAGAAAGGGTGGGTGGGAAATTGGACTTGGGCGGCGGTGGATAGTGGCGGGGGATGGCGGGGGGTGGATAGGTGCGATGTAACAACGACGAAAGTGACGAGTTGGCTTTGATCAATCGTAGGCGATGGCGTTCCTTGGAGTCTTGACGGCCATGATAGTCGTTTACGCGGTCGCCGAGGAGGTCATGGCGGTTCTGCAGTGCATCGGCTTCGCGAGCGGCATTTCCCAAGCTATGCTCGGCATCACCCTCCTCGCCTGGGGCAACAGCATCGGTGGTAAATACTCATTGCCGGAGGTTAATTAGTCGCGAGCCGCGGGAAGCCGCGAGAGGGCGGAGGTCTAATAGATCGTCGGCTCTGTTGCTTTCGCTCGCCACTTGTTTTTTTGTTTTTTTTTTTTTTTTGTTTTAAACGACATGGTAGACGATGACAGGGGCCAGGGGGTAGATTAGGCCGTCGCGTTAGTAATCGCCAAGTTCTAATGAGGCCGTCGGGATGACGGGGCGCGATTCCGGTTCGCGTTTTATCATGTATGCGGAAAGGCACTTTAGTATATTTTTTTCTTATTTTAATGGGAGTAATGGTGAAGCATTCCTGAGGGGACTTGTTCTAAATTAGAATTTCTCCGCTTGGGGGAAAGAAGTAGGCTTTCGATATATGCGGGACTGACACTTGGCAATTCAAGGCAAATTATATCGACATTCCCGAGAGATCAATCATCGTCTTTCCGCTGGAATTTTATATGTTCTCTATTATTATAAATATGAGATCGAAGCGGCGTATTTACATCTCAAATTTAAAACATAATTTATCAATATAAGTAATGAAATTGTTCAAGCAATTCACCAAATGTTAATCAAATGTTACGAATAAGAATGATAGTGCATTAAAATTATATATAATTTTGTATATCTTATTTTATCTAATGCTTTATATTATCTATTTTTGTAGGATCTTACGCTTATTGGCTCGAATTTTTTGTAATACTGACAAAATACAAGACAAAATATTATTTAATTCAATTTATTATATTATTTATTATATATCTGCAAAATGACAGTTTACTTATTAGAATGCTTTTTTTTTTTTTTTTTTAATAACGGTTAACTTATTTACTCGTTAATATACTGCACATTCTGGATGAAAAATTTTGAAGAAAGATAATTTTAATACATCCGCGACCGCATACACACACGCGCATCTATGTATAGGGTTACGCTGGAGTATGTAGATTCGAAATTAGCAATATTACACAGGGATACAGAATGGATGCAGCGTTCTATTTTAATTATAAAAGTTATTTACTTTATAAAAAGATTATGATGAAATTTTATTTTCTCATAAAAAAAAAAAAAAAAAAAAAAAAAAAAAAAAAAAAAAAAAAAAAAAAAAAATCAAAAAAACAAAAAAAAACATTAATCCACTGCTCAATTTCGAATTGTAATTACATGTTAGAGTAACAAGTTATCCTTACATAGTGCATTATGCATGAATATCTTATGTTATATTCAATATTGCATTATAATGAAAATTAATGTCGAAAATACGCTAAAAGTTTAATTATCCACATTTAAATTTATTTAATGAATACGTAATTTATGTTCTTTTATAAGTAAATGTATAAGTCTTAATAAATCCATTAAATTTTGTTTCTTTGTATAAACACTAGTACGTTTCTAAAATATCGGATAACGAATTTAATTGGAATTCAACTACGGTCTATTTGAATAGATTTTTTCTGTTGAAAAAAAGTGAGCATATTTTTAATGAAGGAAAAAATTTTCAGATTACATACACAGCGTCCCTTCTATAATAATAAATAATTGAGAAGCTCATTAAAAGTTTGTAAATTGTATTAAATGATAATCAACGATAATCTAAAATAATTTTATTTCATAATCACGCTTAGATTATTAGAATTACGGGATAAACACTATTGAGCATTAATTAATATTAAGGTGCTTTACCAGGAATTAAGAGCGAATTACTATTTAGTGATTTAAGACTTAGCGTGAAGATAATGAAACTCAATATATCAATTTGTTTGCATAAGATATGTCCTTTTAATTAAAAATTTTTATTGTACGTTGACTTCATTATAGAGCTTAAATATATTTATTTTTAATTAAATATTTACATAGATAGTAGATTATGATGTATTATATAATTAAAAGTTTGAAATTAAAAATTTAAAAATATGATTAAAATGAAGAAGACCAATCATAATATTCATAAAGAATTTATAAAATATCTATAAAATTGTATTTTTCTAAATAATTATGTAGTTAAAAGATGATGAATTACTCTAACTATTCTCTAAAACATTTTCTTATTATACCAAACAATCTTATCTTGAAATTCATTCACAAAGTTAAAATGACAATGCTGATATATCAATTAAAAGATCTAAAATAGCCTGATAAGAAATATTTTTTTAACACATAAGCATTAAAAATTCCCGGTTTACGTTTTAATTATGAATTATTTACACGAAATTATCAATATGCTAAACTGCATTAATACATTAATCATACGTAGATCGATTAGTTTTTCGTTATTATTGGTTAAAATTTGAAGATTTTTTCACGAACAAAAAAAAAAGATATTTTATTTCTTAAACAAATTCTAATACAACGCCAGTACGTGAATCACAACGTTCGATCGCTAAAATGATTATCTTGCGCGTCGTATATATGGGGAGCTACGGTATTAATATATCACAATATCGATATTTAGTTTAAACTATTATGCATGTCGATGTTTTTTGCGAACTCCGTAGCTCAGAAGCGCAAGAAAAGCAAATAAATTTATCAGCCAAATCAGCGATATACGTGCATTATTAGAGCATCGATTATAATTTAATTAAGAGGGGTGAGCTTATTGAAAACCCATGATAGCCACGAACCGAAGCGATCGAATGAAAGTGGCGGCCGGGTTCGACATTGTCCTAGGAGACTTTCTGCAGAGCCTTTTTTTCTCATCTTTGGGGAAAATCGTAATGAGCCGAGCGGTCATAAGGCACGTAATGAAACTCGCAAAGGCCATACATCGACAGACGTCATTAAAATAATTGGTGTCATCCCGAATCCCTTGTGGGTGGATTATGGGGGGGAGGGGGTGGGAGGGAGGGAGGGGGTGAGAGGGACGCGATACATTCGACGAGGCCGTGGTCCGCGTCGTTATCGAGCAGAGATCGCCGGCGTCTCTCCCACCAGAGTAGCCGAACAATACAAAGCTGAGAGCCCCGATCATCGAAACTCCACAGATCTCATCTCGAACGTGACGATTGCGCGCAAAGGCTTCCCGCGCATGGGTTTCTCCGCGTGCTTCGGTGGGCCGATGTTCAATACCCTCATGGGCTTGGGTCTGAACTACGGCATAAGCGCCGCGCACTCCCAGGAACTCTTCGTCCGTGTGCGCACGAGCAACATGGCGCCAGGCTGCCTCCTCTTCCTCTTCTGCTCCCTCCTCTGCTCCATCGTCTACCTCAACGCTACGGGCTTTAACGCAAGGAAGTCCTATGGTTACCTGCTCTTTACCCTTTACGGCATCTACCTCTTCATCAACGGTCTCAGCGAGATCAAGTTCATACATCCGCTGGGTACCGACCATCGTCCCGATGGGGTCTTATAGACTACGCCAGGTACCTTACATTCTTAACGCATAACCTGCGCATTACCTGCCCCTCGACCGTGACCGCTTTCTCCTTAATATATAATTTTACTCTTGATATTAGCTTTTGGTAAGGGCCGCTAAAATCTGCCCACATAGTAGACATTGAAGCGAAAGCCGTTCATTTATCCTCTATTTTCTGTTTATTAATTCCCAGCTTATATAATAATTATAGTTATCCTAGCACTAGACAAACTAACGATTCTATTTTCTTTTTTGCAGGTACAGAAAGTATAGTAGAGATTTTTCATTATTATCGTAGTAATATATTTCCTGAAATGAAATTGCTGATCAACAACGGTTGACATTTAACACGACATAGAAGAAGATTATTGCATTTTGACGGTGTAATGCGTTGTAATTTATAATTTTTTTTTTTTTTACACTACTTTTCACTCGTTCCATGTGTATAATACATTGATGATGATGATGATGATGATGATGATGATGATGATGATGATGGTAATGATGATTAACGTCGAATAAAGCTGGAGTATTAAGTTAATGTCACAAACATCGATTAGAATTATCATTCGGCATTCATAATTACTTTAATAACTTTAATTCGAAAGAGAAAATTGCTATTCGTATTCTAATTGTGCGCATATCGAGTAACGAAATTTTTGCTTGCGTTGTTCTCTATTCCACTCGCCAAAGAGGAAATGTATAAAGAGACGAGTGTTTTCATATCGTTGGTATTTTAATAATAATAAACTCGAGTGAGAGAGAAGGAGAGAGTGGGCGAGAGAAAAGAAGGAGGAAGTAAGCGTAGCGGTAAAAGAACGAGCAAGAGAGTTTCTTACGAGTGGCAAAAGAAAAATAACGAGTGGGTGTAGTAATATCGGACGGCAGCGGCACTCAAATTAAATCAAACCGAGGAAAAGCTGGCGCACGAGACCCTCAAAAGAGAACTTGAATTAATTTAAACAGAAGAAAATACGGGCTGCAAAGAGCAGCCGAAACTATCCAAGCTGACGCCTAGGATATTATATCAGAATTATTAGTAGTCCGAGTTAAAGGGCTAAAAATCCTTTCTTACGATTTATTTTTTCTATTTCTATGCCACTCTGCCATTATTTTTCCTCTATATCTCTGTTCATGTGTCAAACTAATTTAGGAGAATGCCAAAGAATGGATTTGCTCGTTATGCGGCTATTCATAAAATATCTTTATTTTTATATAATTCCTATCTTTCTTTGCGGTGATATAAAAGTGCATTGATGAGATATAAATTTTGAGTCATTCTTTGGAAATTTTTCATTGCATTGTTAAATGTTATGGATCTGTCTTAGCGTAAATAAAGCTCTTTATTAGAAAAGTAAATTATTGCCTGGCGTGAAATGGCTTAAAGTGCTTTGTAGCTTTGTAGTGTGTATCGTTAATGCTTGATAACGTACTTGATGAAGTTTATCAAAATCTGCCGTTTGTCGGTTAAATTTTGTATAACGGATTTTAAGACAATAACGCAAAAATTCATTTCTATAAAGTTATTAGAGTGCTGAGCTTTATTATATATATATATATATATATATATATATATATATATATACTTGTGTTACATTGACAAGGACGAGTTAGAGAAATTACAGCAGCTAATAATCAAAATTACGCGTATATAATTATGTTATAAGAGTATCGTGCCGTGTATCTGCCCATCAACAGTGCCATAAAAAAGATTATCATATAGTGTTTCAATAATAATCGTAATGTCTTATTCTGCTAATTTGAGACGTTGTTACAAAAATCATGCTACTACTATGAATTCTTATTTCTCGCCCTTTCATAAGTTTCCCTCCTTCCTCCATTCCTCCCGACCCCCATTCTCGCTCTCATTCTTTATCTCTCGCTACTAAAAGTTTCGCTCTCTTCACTTTGCATGGCATCGTTCCCTCCTATTCTCGTTTTGCTGCGCGGCGAAATCTTCATAAAGCTCGAAATTTGCGGACGGCAACGGGACAACTTTTTTGCCAGTGTATTGTCTGTCCCCTTTACTCTCGTCCTCTCATATCATTGCGATCGTGGACTTAAGTTTTCACGACAGACAATGAACTCTTTCACTTTTTCGAGCCCCATTTCTTTTCTCTAAAACTTTTTTTGTCCATGGCGCACTGAAAGCCAGTTATCTCGCGTGTATGGGAATTTTAATATTACGCGAGTACGTTTTTTTTTTCCATAAAAAGATTAATAGCTTTTAGAAGCAGGGAAATATTTCTCTTATCGCTGTTTTACTATAGTTAAGTAAGAATTTAATCATTTCGTACCTTAAAGTATATTTTATATTTTATAGGTGGCACTTGGAAGATGTGTCTTAAATTATTGCTGTAGAATAAAGTGGCGATTGTAGGGGGCAGATATTTCACAACATTATTCTTATTAAAAATTATAAAATTATATTGTCAATACCTAGCGGCAATAGGGTTAGCGAAGTAATTATTCTCTCCTAAGCTTATGGTCGGCAGATCAAATTTGAAAGAATTATATTATACTGCTCGACTCATAAACAATCGAGATACTTTACTCCTTTAAAAAAGCTCTATAAATTTGTAACTATAAATACATTCTTTAATCAACTATGGTAATAACCGCGCTACAAAATTTAATTACTTTTTTAATGTATATTTTTACTTTATGAGATAAGAAGGATAATGTGATTTATTTCTTATTTTTTTATTTATTTACTTTAAATTTATTTTTACCTTAAACACTAAATCTTTTTTACGTAAAAGAGTTGGTTAATTAGTATTTATGGAAAAATTGAGTTTTAAATTTTTATTCAAAGAAGTATTTGTTAAAAATTATAATTACGTATTAGCGATATGAGATATAACAAGGAAAAGCGTTTGATATTTAAAATTTTTTCTATTCAATGTTTTGTGCGTTGGGTTTCATTAATTTTGAAACGATAAATTATTGGAAATATTCGTCGAATAAAATACATAAAATAGAGATCATCGCATTTTTCGTGAAGGTCTCTTGCAAAATAAAAACTTCAAAAATACATTGTTTTTCGGAGTATCTTATATTAATTGCTTTTAAAATCTCTATTATCGCATGACTTTTCGCGTTAAGATACCCGAGTTTGTAGTTACGAGACTTTTAATATATTTGATATCTTATAATGTATTATATTTTACACTCATAAGCATTTATGCTTTCATATCTCCAATATGTATGTTGTGAAAAACTGGGATAAGAAAAACCGAATTTTAAATGAGAAAAAAGAGTGGCGCATTCCATTGTGATAGAAAAAAATGCAAATAATAAACAAGAGGTATTATCATTTGTTAACAATTTAATTTAAGTCATTTTTCAACATTAATATAATAAATACAAACTAATTGAAATTTTATAAAATTAATATGAAATGATACGTGGCATGAAATAATAATTTTATACGCAGGTATGGCAGGTGTAGTATACGCAGGCACGTAGCTTTTACTCCTTCAAAAAGTAATTTTTACAAATTTTATGCAATTGATATATGTGCATTCAATATTAATGCTATTTTAACATTTAATAGATTTCATTGAGCTTAATATCTAGCCTATGAATTATAATATTTGATATAATATTGATAATATTGACTATGTGGAGGAATTTTTTTCAACTTCAAATTTCGCGTCACTCAGAGAGAAATTACTAAACGGATCGAATATTTCTGAATTTTTAAATATATTTTATTATAGCAAAACTGTTTTTTTTTTTTTTTGTAATTAATTACATATAGTATATATATATATATATATATATATATATATATATATATATATATATATATATATATATATATATATATATATATATATATATATATATATATATATATATATATATATGTATTTATTTATTTCTTTTTAATGAGCATTAATTTAATTGAAATTTTAATAATCCCTTTAAAATTAAATTCTTTAGAAAATTACAGAATGTTTTTATCTTAATAAATTAATACATTATGATTAAGCTATTTTTATATAAAAACGTTAACTACCTATTTCAAAGACTATAATTTCTAGATAATTATCAATTCGTAATTACCTTATGTGTTTCTGCGGCGTTTGTGCACAAATGTCAATGTAAAATGGCAATTGATTGATAATCGAATAAATATCGTTTTACATTGATTGTTATGTAAAGATTAATGGCAAGAGCGAGTGATTTTACTAATCCGCAAATCGCCGTAGTAGCCGGTAACTTTTTTTTTTTTTTTTTTTTTTTTTTTTTTTATAGAACTTTATTATTCAAGTCATGATCATATCGTAATCACAACGTAAAACTGGACATCAGCACTAGGATCTTTATATCTATCTCTAATACCCCCTATTATCCACACATATGATCTTAAAATATATCTTATAATATGGTTGGTTACGTCTTTCAAGATATATATAATAAATATTCTCTTTCAGACAGGAAAAATTTTCATTTTAAACTATGAAGAAAAAATCCAAAATTTAATTTATTTCTATATATTCCAAGTTGGTTAATTTATTTCTATGTATCTATATTCTAAATTAGTATTATATTGTAAGTATTTGTCAATAGTCTTTTGTTAAGAAGATTTATGAAAATACCAAGGATCGTGTAACACATTATACATTTGTTACATCCACAGCACTGGTATTTGACTAGAATACAAATAATGCATTAATCACGTTAAATTTTCCTATGAGTTCATAAATCATGTTCTCTAAAATTGTTGCCAAAAGATGTGTAATCACTAATATTTTTACATTGGTCTAAATTTTTCAAGTAGAAAATAACATATGTCAAATTTATTAAACAAAATCGTTATTAATTCCCATGAAACTAGTATAGACTTTATTGTATAAACAACAATAGAGTTAAATTAAAGATAAACAAAAAATACAGATAACGAATTAATGAATATCATAGCTATAAATAAAACATAATAATAAAATAAGGTATCTTAAGGTATATTATATAAAAAATAATTCACAAAT